GTACTTTAATTCAAGCCTGTGATATCAGTGATGGAGCTGTTCAGCCTGTTTACTATCAGCACAAGGATCTTTTGTGGCGCACTAATATAGAGTTCAGCTGTTTTGAGAAAATATTTTAAAAATATACAGGTAACAGATGAAGTATTCAGATTACAGGTATTCAGTTTTAATCAGTTCATAAAACGTGTTCACAATCTTCTGTTTCATGAAATGCAGAAAAATACAATTTGAGCTGCATCTGTGTTTCCATGGCAGCACGTTTATTGATTCTTAACTGGTTCTGAACTTATCAGGGCTGCAATAACCAATCAGCATAATCAATAACCAATAACAAAATAAAAACTGTGGGCAGTGAATCCCGTTATCTGTTAGTGGGCCTGATGAGTTTGCACTTCACAGTTACATCACATGACTGAAAGACAGAAATACAGATTAACAAACACTGCAGTACAGAACTGTGCATGACCGACTGACCCGCCCAAAACGCTGCTGAATGATATTTTATATCTGAATTTTTCCAACTCATTTGTCTCATTTGTGCATCTCTTACACTCAAACTTTCATCTAAGATCATCAGATGCTGCTGGAATTTGCCAAACATTGAAGCTACTCACGCTATCAGTGTTAGCTGAGACCACCTGACCGCACGTGATTTACCCCTTTAACTGATTAACTCATTATAATCTGACGCTCCTTCAACAAAAAACACACTGACTTACCTCAGACTGCTCACTACAAAGATGGTGTGGAATCAGCGTGCTTAGCGCTGCATGGTCACTGCATTATGTAAGCTTATTTGCAGTATAATAGTTTAATCATAATGACAAAACTCATAACTTCAGATGAATTTTAATCAGTTTTTTAATAAAGAAGGAATGAAAGGAATATTTCTTTTATTTTACAATTGTTGGAAAAAAAATCCAGACTATCATCTGCAGTTTTACGTTTGTAAATGTAAATCTAATTGGTTAATTAAAGTCTTAATGGACCAACTAACCAATTATAACAAGTTGTGGCCCACTTGTTATCGTCATGTTAAAGCAACAGTGTTCAGTGTGTGAGGCTGTGTACACATTAGTTAGCTGTTACTACCTAAAACATGACTTTAGTTTCTGTTTGAAACTCAGTCGTGTTAACTAAGGACTTCAACTTCACACACAAACTGAGTACACACATATGCTAAACTGGTACCCAGTCCAGGGGCCCATTCCAATACTTTAACATGTCCTCACCCACTCAGACTGACCACTCAGATGTACATCACAACTATATACGTTTATACTAACTGCACTATAAAATACTGTGTTTGGAGAGTCATTTAACAAATGGGTTACTGCATTATACAACTCACCAACAGCCACAATCACAGGTAATGGATTAACATCACGCTTCACACTACAGAGAGGAATCAGAATCAAAATAATAAGATTAAAGGAATATAAGTCGACAACAGCCAGTATAAAATGAGTCTATATGCACACAGTAGACTTCTGTATCTGTAAGATCCCCCAGAGTCCTTACAAATAACTACTAAACTGATCAACTTTTTCTCAAAATGTCTAATTATTCTGTCAGCTGATCCACACTTTCACCACCACATTCACACAACTGGAACTTAGCAGCAAAAACAATAACTAACCCTCTCTGTTCTGACAAGATCACACAGTCTGGCATAAATCTTATACATATGTAAACCATAATCCTCTCCTCAAATCAGTACAGGATGGTCTAAATCCACTGATGAACACATCACTTTCACAGTCCGATCAGAAATCAAATCAAAATGACTGCACTACCAAACATAAACCACCTTTTTATTACACACTGTTGTGAGCCTGAACAGCAGAAAAGCAATAAACATCTGAATTACAAAAAAAAAACATACTTTATCTCAACTCATATTCCAATCCAATTATTCCAATCTACCTGGTTCAACTCCCTTCATACGTTTCGATCCAATTTATACTGAAAAAAAAAGAATTCAGCTGTTCACATTACAAAAAAAACTAAACTGCGAGGTGATTTAGATCCCCTAACTTTTACAATTATTTTTGTGCCACACAACTGCAATTTATTTAAAAATGAAAACACCCCAGTGATCAATGCAACTCCTGGATTGAAACCAATCAAAGTGTAAAGAAATATAAATTTCTGATCTATCATTGATCAGACCCTCTGTAAGATATCACACCTACTTCAATCCCCAACAACAGCCATCAAAATCACCAACTCAACAGCACAGATATGGAAACAACCACTCCACTTTGGAACGACCCAGACTGTCTGCACAATAACAGATATACCTGAATGGACAAACAAAAGCATCTCTGACACACAAGACGTTAAACTAATCTCAGTCTGGAGGAATCAGTCCAGAAGTACAGAACTGGTACTTCTGAAACTTTTCTTCAGTACCAGCAATTTAAATCTGCCATCATCCACACAGTACATTTAATATAACATGACCCACACAGATCAGGCATAACATTATGACCTTTCT